TAATGGCAGTTTCTTGCTTAAACAATATAATTATCACACCGAACAAAATGAACTGTTCCTGTCGACAGGTCCAAAGTCAAAGTTTCCCCACCGTCCCCAATATAACATTTTAGTGCTGGTCTGTTCAAAGTAGGATCCCATTAGGGCCCAGACGTTGCGTTTCATTCCGTTACTTAAGTCCCCTTAAATCTAGAACCGTCTGTACGCTGTATTTGGGGCAATAGAAAAGTTCTCCCCACTCTACTATCGTTTCATGGTTTCTTTTTTTTGTTTTTCCATTTAAATCTTCCATCCATTTGGAGTTGCTCTTATTGTGTGTTGGGTGAGGCACGGATTCAACTGTATTGTTTTCCCAGGCGGCTACCCTGGTGTCCCCACACCATTCATTAAAAAGCCCATCTTTCGCCATCCGTTAAAGATCCCGCATTTGTCATCTGTCGTACGGTGACACACAGTTCCTGGGATCTTCCAGATGCTGGTTTGTAAGTCCGTCCACCTGCCACAACCACGCAGTCTTCATGTTGAGGCCGTGTGACATCTGGCAGCCCCGCCCTCTTCCCTTCAGGTCGTCCTTCCTGGCTCGTTCTCCGCCATGTGAGTTTTTGAATAACTAATTTCAGAAGAAAATGCTGTACATCATGAGCTGGGGAGATTGGACTTCTTTTGATGTGAAATTAGCATTGTATCCCGGAACATGGTACGTCTTTTCATTTGTGAACCTCACTTTCCGTGTCTTTCAGGAGTCTTTCAAAGTTCTTTGCATAAAAGCTTTCCATGTTGTATGTTATTTTTACACCGAGGTGGTTTTTCTGTGTTTCCGCTCTCAGTGGGGTTTTTCTCTTCCACATATCTTCTAGCCGGTTGTTTTATGAACGCATGAAGGCCATTGGCTTGTTAAAAAATACTAATTTAGATAGATAGCACGAGCAAGGGAGGGGTAGAGAGAGAGGGAGACAGAATCCCAAGCAGGCTCCCGGCTGTCAGTGTCTCACCGACTGTGAGATCGTGACCTGAGCCAAAACCCAGAGTCAGTCGGTTAACCAGCTGAGCCACTCTGGAGTCCCAAGGCCGTTGGCTTTTACATTAGTTTTAGATCCCGCCGTCTCACAAAATTCTCTCATTGTGTCTTAATGGTTTTGTCCGTGGGATCTTCGTATTTTTCCAGAATGCGGCGATGCCACCTGCAGATAGGGACATTTTGTACCTGCCCGCTGGTGCTTATCTGTTTGTCGTTGGCCCGCGTCTAACGATACTGCGCAGTGCAGTTGTGGAGACAGCGGAGACGTAGCGGTATCTTTCTTATTCCTCACTTCAGTGAGAATGCATCCGGGGTTTCCCCCGAGAAGAAAACGTCCCGTCTTTGTCTGGTCACCGTTTTTGCCTTCAGCTTTACTTTGTAATTAGTACAGCCACGGCGGTCCTCTTTTGATTCGTGTTTGCACAGCGTAACCTTTGCCACCCTTTTACTCGTAGCCTTTTTATATCCTTATGTTTTTGATGTGTCTTTGCAAAAACAGTGTCTCGTATGTATCATGGATGTGTTCTTGATCCAGTCTGCAAGTCTTTGTGTTTTCAACCGGACCTTCTGTCCACTTAGGTTTAATGTAAGCACTGATACGTTTGGAATTCTCTATCCTTTGGGATTGCACCATCTATCTCCTCTTTCTCACCCCGCCCCTCCTTGCGTCTATTCCTGTGCATTTTCTTCTTCTTTTGGATTGATTGTGTATTTTGCAATTCTATTTTCAACTGTATTTTTCCATTTCAATTTTTCAGTTCCCCCATTAGTCTGTAAGTTATACAGCGTTCTACTCTGTCGTTGGTGGTTACTATAGAGATTTAAAGTGCGACGTTTGTTTATCAAAGACTAATGTTACTTAAGCGTGTCTCCCCTTTTCCTAGACATTGCAGGGGCTTCAGAATATTCTAAACTGTAAACACTCCTCAATTTACATGCTGTTACCATATTTTAATTCTGGATAATTTTAGCTCACAATAGACTTATGCTTGCTTTTTATACAGTCAGCACTCAGTAGGGTTCACCCAAATTCAGATTTACCCTCTTTCTTACTCCTTATTTCTTCCTGCATCCCTGAACTTCTAATTAGGACTATTTTCATTCTGCGTGCAGAACACCTTTTAGTTTCCTCTTTATTGCAGCAGTAAATTATTTTGCTTTTTGATATTTGGAAACAAGTCGTACCTCCATTCTTGAAAGATACTAGTTTCCACTTCTAATTTTTAAATACCGTCAGGATTTTTAAGAAGTTATGAACGTAGGACAGGGAGTTCCCAGATACTTTTCATCCTGTGTCTTCAACACTGAACGAACTATGTGGTCATTAATACAGTCATGAAAGTGGGGAACTAGCTGACACAGCTAATCTACAGATCTCTTCAAACTTCACCTGGTTTCTGGACCAGGTCCCACCCAGGGCCACACGCTGCCTTGATTTGTCACATATCTCTAGTCTCCTCCTGAGACCTCTCTTTGGTCTTGTTTGCCGCCCCCCCCCCCCCTGGCCTTGGGATTTTTGAAGAGCTCTGACTAGTGATTTTGTAGAATTTTCCTCAGCTTTGGCTCGGGAGATGCTTCTTGTGATTAAATCATGACTGCACGTTTCGGGCAAGAACACCAGGAAATGATGACGTGCTGTTTTCAGTAATTCATATCAGGAGGCGTATGCTTTTCTTATATCTCAGTCCTGGTGATGCTTTGATCACTTCGTTAAAGTGGTATTTTTCCGTTTTCTCCATTGTAAACTTACTGATTTTCCCTTTGTAAGTAGCAGGCGTTTTGTAGGAGACGCTCCGAGAGCATGCATATTTGGTATTTAATGCTACGTAACGTATATGACAAATTCCCTCCCCACTCCCAAATTAGTGGCTTTAAGAAACAAATAATTTATTATTCGTGGTTTCCTTGGGCCAGGAGTTGGGAGCAGCTCCACTGGATGACCTCGGGGTGGGGTCGCTCAAGTGCAGGCGACAATCATCTGAAGGTTTGACTGGGGCTGGAGGGTCCCTGCCAAGCCAGCTCCCTTATGGGCTCTTATCTGGAGGCCTCAGCCGTCCACTGACTGTGGGCAGAAGGCTCCATTCCTCCCCACGTGGACCTCTCCAGAGGGCTCCTGCAGTGGCCTCATGACATAGCACCTCACTTCAGCCACATGAGGAGCACAAGGCGGAAGCCACAAATGTCTGTGGCTTGTCCTGACAACGTGCCACATCTACAGTATCTTCCTGGGCCACCGGGTCAGCCGTATTCAGTGTGGGAGGGGACTGCAAAGCAGCATGAGGACCAGGACTCGGGATCCTTGGTGGCCATGTCCACAGCTGTTGGTTCTTCTGGGCTCCTGGCACCACTTTCTCCGTCGTCCTTCCTTTTCCGTGAAAGACCGCTGACGTTCACTGCAGAATTGTTTTCCCAGCCGTGCGCCAGTCAGGGTCCCATCAGAAGATGGAACCGAGGGGCCCCTGGGGGGCTCCGTCGGTTGAGCGTCCAGCTTTGGCTCAGGTCACGATCTCGCGGTCTGTGAGTCCGAGCCCCGGGTGGGGCTCTGGGCTGACAGCTCAGAGCCTGGAGCCCGCTTTGGATTCCGTGTCTCCCTCTCTCTCTGCCCCTCCCCTGCTCACCCTCTGTCTCAAAAATAAACATTAAAAAAAATTAAAAAGAATTATTAACCAGAGTAATGGGTGATTGGCTAGCGAGAGAACTCTAAGAGCCGTAAGAGTGTAGGGTATAGGCAGCGGTCTCTGCACCTGGGACTGAGAGAGACCCCCTCCCAGAGCTAACCTCCAGACCTCCTGGAGGGGGTGCGGTCATGACTCTGCTCCACAGACCGAGGTGGGGCTCTGCTCTGTTTGCCGAGGTGCTTCATCAGAAGGGCTCGCGTGAGATCCACCCTCTGCGGTGGGAAGCTGGCCGGAGGGAGGCATCGCACCTCAGAACCCTCGAGGCTGCTCCAGGAGGTGCCCCACGAGCCCCGCAAGAGGAGGAGCCTGGCTGGCCGCTTTCTTCCCTGACACTGCTTGAGGGAAGGCGAGCGACAGGCCTCCCCCCCCCCCCCCCCCCGTTGCTGGCACTTTACTGCGAGCCACCCAGGGCAGGGGGGTGCCACGGAAGCCGTTTGCAGGGCACTCCCTGCAAGCTGCTGGGTGTACCCGAGAAGGCTTCCGGGGAGGCGTGCTTAGCCAACAGCGCTGACTAGTACCAAAGGGGCCAAATTATTATTTCTAAAAGATGTTTTATGTGTACATTTGAAAGAGAGAGAGACCGTGCATGAGAAGGGGAGGGGCAGAGAGAAGACAGAATCCGAAGCGGGCTCCAGGCTCGGAGCTGTCGGCACAGAGCCCGACGTGGGGCTCGAACGCACGAGCCGTAAGATCACAACGTGAGCCAAAGTTGGACGCTTAACTGACTGAGCCACCCAGGCGCCCCCAAAGGAGCCAAATTATTAACATGGGGTCAAGTACTTAGTTTCATAAAGAAGGAAAAGAAAGATTCTTAGTTTTAGTCTAACCACCTGCGTATTTGCGAAATTCCCAAAGTGGCAGCTGCGTTCAGCGTAGACTCTCGTTGATGGACGTATTTCAAGTGTGCGCTTTGATCAGTATTGGTGCACGGACACACCTGGGTGGCCACCACCATCGGGATAGGAGAGGCCGCGCCTGAGAGAATAGCCACGAAACGCAGGAGGAAGACGAACAGTAGGGCACAGGGTGAGTGGCGGTGGGGAACTTGCTTTCCCAGGTGTCAGGACGTTCTATAAAGCCACTGCGATAAAACCAGCGTGGTGGTGGTCGTCTAGGAGCAGACAGGTAGGTCCCAGGAAGGACAGACAAGCTGGAAATACGGCCCTCCATCCACAGAGAGGAAAGTAATAAATACCTCGTAGTGCCAGAGTTCAGTTGAGTGAGCGAAGGTCCTGACACGGTGGACACTGGGTGTTCTCCGTCTAATGGGGCTGGTGCGCATAAATAATCGTCGTAACACAGGATCAGCGTGATTCAAAGTTTTACGGGTTCAGAAGAGGAATAGACTAACAGAGGAGGTAACACCTGAGAAGTATCTTCAACAATACATGAGTCTGAGGAATGGGAATGGGCATCGGGGAGCTGGGATCCTCAGCAGAAGGAGCTGCGTAGGTAAAGGCAGAGAGAGATGTGAGTGCCACGGTGTTTTGACGGAAGTAGAATAATGCCCTGCTCCCCAACCCGGCCAAAGACGTCTGTGTTCTAGTCCCCAGAACCTTTGATACGTTAAGTTACGTGCCAATGAAGAATTAAGGTAGCATAGGAAATTTGAGGTTGGTCAGGTGACCTTGAGATGCAGAGTTTTTCAGGTTATCTGGATGGGCTCGACATAATCATAAAAGTTCCTGTAAGTGGAGGAGGAGGCAGAAGACAGAGAGCCAGAGCAATGGCGGCCTGAGAAGCTCTTGGCCCGTGTTGCTGGTTTTCAAGATGGCGGAAGGGCCACGGACCGAGGAGTACGTGTGGCCTCTAGAGGCCGGAAAAGGCAAGTCAGTGGATTTTCTTTTAGAGCCTCCAGAAAGGAAACGGGCCGGCCAACGCCTTGATTGGAACCCAGCAAGTCCCATTTTGGACTTGGGACTTCCCGAACTGCAAGATGATACGTTGGTATCGCGTGAAGCCTCCCAAGCTGCGGTAACTTGTTAGAGCCTCCAAGGAAACCGACACAAGCACTGAATAAATCAGACTGGTGGAGCCTCAAATCCAATGGGAAAATGGAGGGGGCAGAGTGGGCGCCCGAGGCCACACCATGGGCTCCTGAGATGTCGTCTAAGGGGCTGGTGCCACAGGAGAGGGCAGTGACGCCTGTTTTAGGGTCATCACATTGGCCAGAGGGTTTGGAGGCAGAGAGGCAGGGAGCGCACTCTTTCTTACCCAGTGATGCGGTTTTCATATTGGCCACCTCACTCTTCGTGACAATCTCTCCGGGAATTACTGTCCTTGTGCATGAAGGACAGTGTGTGAGTTCGAGCCCCGTGTCGGGCTCTGTGCTGACAGCTCAGAGCCTGGAGCCTGTTTCGGCTTCTGTCTCTCCCTTTCTCTCGGCCCCTCCCCCACTCACTCACTGTCTCTCTCTCTCTCTCTCTCTCAAAAATAGACATTAGAAAAAAAAAGAAAACACATAGTATCTATAGGGCTCGGTACTATCCAGGTTTCGGGCATCCCTGAGGTTTCTTGGAATGTGCCCTCCGTGGGTAAGGGGGGACAGGCTTGTTATTACACTCATCGTATATAAGTCTCCTTTCTAAAGTTCGTCTAACCCAATTTAATTCTAGGGCTCGGGCAGGTCAGCCCATAATTATTTTTGTGTTGACTCCAAAGGATTTTTGTTGCAGACAGCGAGCCACGTGTTTGTCACTTGGTGGCAAACAGAGCTCGGTCACGTCAGCCCCAGGAGCCGCTGGTTTACGCAGCGTGGTTCTCTTAAGTGCAGTGGGTCTCGGGCTCCCTAGGAACAGGTGCACTCCCTAGCAAGAGGCTGCCCTTCTTGAACTGATCGGGAGTCCTTGGACGCCCTGCCTCGTGAGATCAGAGCTGGACGGACGCCGAGGCCCCCGAGGCCCTCCTGACTTCACTCCGGGTGACCCTCGGCGACAGCCGTGTGCTGAGACAGAGGGCGGTGGTGCCGTCGTTAGTCCTGAAGCAGGTGGCGAGGGCGACTGAGCAGGTGCTGCCGGGGTCTTCGGCTCCTGCTCGAAGCCCCTTCGCGAGGAGAGAAGGGAAGAGCGGTGATAAGGTGACGAGCTGGGGTCTCTTCCCTTCTGTGATCTGTTGGGTGCTCAAGGGGGTACGGGGACCCACCCCCCTCCGACGCGCTTCTGGGCGTCTCTTGAGAAAATGCAGGAGTTGAGGGTTTCGTGCCAATCCGTGTGGGCAAAGGGAGAATAGTTAGAACGGGCCTGGAGGAGGCTGAGGTGGAGAACAGAAGGCAGGGATGCTCCCCGGGCCCGGGCTGTGGGTGGCGTGTCTGATCAGGATCTGAGGGTCCCAGCTGGGCCCAGGTGTTACCCAGGGCACCCGAGGTCGGTCCCCTCGTCCTGAGCACCCGGGAGGGGACGAGAGAAATGAGTAGGCAAAATAAAGTTGACACAAGGCTTTTCCGGGTCCGGTATCCAAACCGTTCCATATTTCTGGAAGTGCAGTAAACCCAGGAGCCGGGTCGGAGATGTGGGCGTTCGGGCTCTAAAACCAGAAGGGTGTTGACCATTTGCACGGACAACCAGACGTTGGGAGAAAAGCCTCTTGGCGTCTACGTTCTCTGCTGTAAAATTGAAGTATTCGGGCGTCTCATTGAAACTGCAGGGAAGGGAGGGGCTGATGTGTTTCTACAGTGCAAGGAACGGTAGGGGGGCCTGACCATGGCCCACGTGAGCAGGACCACTGTCACGGGCGCTGCTGTGGAGGCAGGAGTGCACGTAGGGAGGCCGCCCGCAGGCCCTCCAGCCAGGGGCCTCCCATCCACCTGTGGCTCATCCCCTCCCCGTCCTGTGCTCCGGGCGATGGAGGAACCGAGCCTTCTTCCCGCGGACTCAGAGACTCACTGCCTTTGGAGGAAAAATCCTTAAGACGAGGATCCGGGGGCTTGGGGACCAGTGACAAAGCTGTTCGGCAGGGGTCACCATGAGGAATTCAGTTCGTGGGGACGGGCTTTTCTGTTCCCTTAGCCAAAAGTATTAGCCATTTACTGTTTCAAGGCAGTAATTCTGTTAGTACGATAAGCAGTCGCTTAATACCTACCGCCGTCCGTATGTCCTCGGGTCTCACATATTGCCAGTGTCACATGGACCATTAATTTGTAAGAGAAACGTGGGAAGAATGAAAATAAAAGCCATGACACGAATGGACCCCACAGTCTGTGGGACTTGTGCTAATATTAGAATCGTTGTGATGTGGAAGGAATGAGCTTTTTAGAATCGAGGTAAAAGTTCCGACACCAGATTCTGCCGTGGGGGGAGGGGTTCCCCCCACGTCCGAGGAATGTTCCAGACGCCAGCCGGGCGTCCTGTGGGCCAACTCAGTTCGGATACGGTCTCCCTAAAAGTAGCGTCAGATCCCGCGGGTGTAGGGCTCTGTCCCACAGGACTGCCCCCCCCCAAACCCAGACACCCCTGGTGAGTCCGGGTTGTCACCTGTTTCTGGCCAGTCGGCCATAAATCAGAAGGCTCCCATGACCCCCTCCTTGGGTTTGATTGATTTGCCAGACTGGCTCACAGAACTCAGGCAAACAGTTTACTTCCTAGATTACCTGTTTATTGGAAAAAAGGTGAAACTCAGGGAGAGCCCCGGGGGGAACTGATGTGTAGGGCACTGTATGTGGGAGGGGGCACAGCACCCAAGACCCGTCCTGGTGCGCGTCCTTCTTCTCCATCTTCACCAGCCGGGAAGCGCTGGGCCCTGTCCTCCTGGGCTCCGGTGGGGGCTTCACTACAAAGGTGGGACTGGCGACCGAGCTCAGATCTCCAGCCCCTCTCCCCTCCGTAGGGCTGGGGGCGGGGCTTGGAGTTCCAACCCTGTGATTGCAGGTTGGTTACCCTGGCAACCAGCCCACCGCCCTCGGGGGCTCTCCAAAAGTCACTCCGCGGAGAGGGGTTTGTTATAAATAACAAAAGCCGCCCACTTCCCCTTTACCGCTCTGGAGCTGTTTCAGGGACTGGGAACAAAACTAAGTATTGTAACAAAAGAGGCCCCTGCGGTTCCTGTATAGGAGATTCCAAGTTTTGGAACTGTGTGCCGGGAACAGTGGACAAAGGCCAGATACGTGTTTCTTCTTGCAAATCACTGTGTCACATTTGGTTAGTGGTACGAGCGTTCATTCACCTCTTTGACGGTCTCCTAAGGGGTTGCTCCTCTGTTTTGGTTCGTTTTCATCATCCTGGATTTACTATCAAATGTCTCATAAAAACAAAAAAGGTATAAAAATTCTGCAGGTCAATTTATCGACTCAGCAGATACGTACAAATAACATTACGAATGCAGTGGAAGTCTGCACCTCTTAATTTTTTTTTTTTTTTTAAGATTTTATTGTGTAAGTAATCTCTGCACCCAGCGTGGGACTCGAACTCACCACCCTGAGGTCGAGAGTTGCGCGCTCCACTGATTAAGCCAGCCAGGCTCCCCTACATCTCTTAATGAATTTTAAAGAGACTTTAAGAGATTACGGTAACTACCAGGTGGCTGTTTTATGTATTGCAAATGCTTTCCTGCTTGCCCTTCATCTTTTAAATTGTCTGCGTATGGAGGTGATATGTTTTCATGTCATTAGAAGTCAAGCATTTCCTCTATAGTTTTGGATTTTTCTGTCCTGCTAAGAAAGGCCTCTTCACCTCAGGATAATATAAGCACTGTCCAAAATGTTCTTGTGTGATATTGTTTGCATTGAAATATTCCATCTATTTGGAGCAGATGGCGCGTGTCTCTGTGTGTGGACGTAAAACTACAACTCTGCATTACCAAGATAAATGGAGGATTGCTGTGAAGTATCAAAGTGGTGATGTGAAAATAGAGTGTCCTAATTGGCGTTTCTGGTATTTCAAGGGAGGTTAACCTTTCCACCACCCCCTCCCCGTGCTTTTTATTTTTATTGTTTTAAAACATTTATTTTTAAGTACTATCTACACTCAACCTGGGGCTCAAACTCACAACCCCAAGATCAAGAGTCACATGCTCCACCTACTGAGCCAGCCAGACGTCCCCCCCCCCCCCCCCGCCGCCATGCGTTTTAAAGCTTTCCCTTTTAGAAAGCATTTTATTATACAAAAATAGGATAGGGTAATGAACTCACTACCTGTGCCCATTACTCAGCTTCAACCACTGTCAACTTATTGATTCATCTCTGTCTCTACATGTAGCACCTGAGACTGTGTGTCAACAGACAGGTAGGCAGATAGGTCATTGGCATGGAATATAGACTCTGGAAGTAGATCCACACTTACATGGCCCATTGACTTTCCACAAAGGTGACGAGATAATTCAATGGGGGGAAATAGTCTTTCCAACGAATGGGCAACAGGATTTCCATGTGGAAAAAATGAGCCTCAAGTCCTATCTCACATCATGCAAAAAAGTTAATTTGAAGTGGATCCTTGACCTGAATATGAGTGCTAAAACTATAACATTTTTAAAGGAAAGCATAGAGGAAAAAACTAGGAAAATAACTTTCACAACTCAATAATGAGAATACAGACCACCCAATTAAAAAGGGGGCAAGGTACTTGCACAGAGGGGTCCCTGGGTGGCTCAGCTGGATAAGTGTCCGACTCTTGGATTCACCTCAGATCGTGGTCTCTCCGTTCATGAGTTGGAGCCCCCTGTCGGGCTCTGTGCTGGCAGCTTGGAGCCTGTTTGGGATTCTCTGTCTCCCTCTGTATCTCTGCCCTTCCTCCACTTGGATTCTCTCTCTCTTTCTCTCTCTCCCCCCCCCCCCAAAATAAACATTAAAAAAATACTTGCACGGGGCGTCTGGATGGCTTAGTCGGTCGAGCGTCCCACTTCAGCTCAGGTCACAGTCTCACGGTTTGTGAGTTCGAGCCCCGTGTCGGGCTCTGTGCTGATGGCTCGGAGCCTGGAGCCTGCTTCGAATTCTATGTCTGCCTCTTTCTCTGCTTCTCCCCTGCTCATGTTCTGTCTCTCTCTCCTTCAAAAAATAAAAAAATATATTAAAAAAAAAACTTGCACATAGACTTCACAAAGGAAACAATATCAATAGCCAATAAGCTCATTAAAAGAGTGTTCAATATTCATCAGTAACATGCAAATTAAAGCCATAATGAGCTTCTCTCCCCTACACTGCAGGAGAATGGCTAACATTAAAGACTGACAACACTCGGTGTCGTGGTGGATGTGGTCACCACGGCTGTCATACGTCATCATGGGCACCATGCTTTGGGGGAAATGGCTGTTTCATTTCACGCTAACCACTCACCTTCGCTATGACCAAGCAATGCCACTTCCAGATTACCCATGAGAAGTAAAAACATATCCGCTAAGAAAGACATTTGTACAAGGACCTTCATAGCGGCTTTATTAGTATCAGCTAAAAACTGGAAACAACCCAAATTTCCATCCACAGGAGAGTGGATGAAGGAACCGTGATGTGTTCATACAATGGAATGCTACTCAGCTACAGAAAGGAACAAACTCCTGATACATGAAACCGTATGCATCTTAAAAGCATTATGTGGCGTGAAACAAACCAGATGCAAAAGAGTGCACACTGTGTGATTCTACGTATGAAGTCCCATTTATGCTGACGGAAGCCACAGCAGCGGCTGTCTCTGGGGCTGGGGGTAGGCAGGAAGATTCATGGGAACAATAGGAGTCAACTTTCCTCAGTGATGGAAATGCTCTGTATTACAATAAGGTCTTGAGTCACGCAGCCTCATCCATTTGTCAGAACTCATTGGATGGTATACTTCAGGTCTGTGCATCCCACTTTATGTACACTTTAACTTAGAAAACAACTGGTAAAGAAAAGATCTAACACCTTGAAAAAAGAAAAAAAGATGGGTTAAATCTCATATGTGTAATCCTTGGCGAGGCCATGTTTGAGATACAAGAGGCACCAAAATATGTTTTTTAAAAAATTATACATATCCCCCGTCTTTCTCTTATCGTTTGCTGCTGGTGGAATAATGACTTGATTTTAAAAAGCGACACCTCTGAATTATACAATAATTAGGAGAGGAAGCAGGAATTAATTTAAGAAGAGATACAGGGCCATGAGTACGTTCTGAGAAAGATTTGGGGAAGCCAGAGGTCTACAGCGAACCACACTACACTTGCTTTACTGACTTCGGACGTGTAATAAAGTGGAAGGAGTCTTTTTACTTCATTTACATTTATTATAGAATCCTGTAACACAGCAAATGTGAAACTAATCTATCTAAACTAAATATATATATTTTAGTACACACGCTTTTCTTTGAGGTAGGGTTAGGAATCCACATGACCTTGCCTTTCAGATGGGTGCGTGAAAATCAGGAATCCTCATTTAGAATGGAGTCAGGAGGCCGCCAGGAGGACCTCTCACGCCCAGACCCAACGGGAAGAGAGGTACCTTGCCGGGAGATACTGTCTTCTACCCAGAGGGAGGAAGGAAGGTTTTCTCCTGCCCTGGCCCAGCCAATGAGAGACAGTCACCACTCAGCCAATGAGAAGCCGCCACAGTTGAACTCCCATCTACCCCGATGGACTTTTTGTTGATCACAGCTCCTTTCCTCTCTAGAAGAGCGGTCCTCCCCTTTGTTCATTGGACTTGCCTCTGGTTTTGCTGTGGCTTGTCCCCGATTGCAATTCTCTGCTAATCCCAAGTAAATCCATTTTTGCCGGTAAAATAACTGGCAGTTTTGTTTTGAAGGTTAATAGGTGCTAGAGATGTGCTCTCTTTAGGATGGCTGTGTCGGACTCTCTGCCCAGAGAGAGAGAGAGAGAGAGCGAGCCAGAGCTTCTGGCCAAAGACTAGGCCTTACAGATGTAGCAAGAGCAGGGCACCGCAGCATTCCCGAGTAGGGGCAAGCGTTTGGGAGCTCTGAAGGCACAGAGCTCTGGTACTCAGTCAAGCTTAATCTGCTAATCTTAGATCCGTACTCATTCTGGCCCTGCTTCCCCCACCCATCTAGTTACATGTTTAAGTATATGCCAATTACGTGCCCCTAAGAGCTCATTCTGAGAGATGTGACAGCTTTCCTTGGAAGTAGGCAGCCCTTCTGGGGTGGTACCCATCGGATGCTGTGGCCAGAACTAAAATTTAGTCGGGAGGCATCTGGGTGGCTCAGTTGGTTAAGCATCCTTCTCTCGATTTCGGCTCAGGTCGTGATCTCACTATTCATGGGATCGAGCCGCACATTGGGCTCTATGCTGACAGTGTGGAACCTGCTTGGGGTTCTCTCTCTCCCTCTCTCTCTGCCCCTACCCCCCCCCAACCCCCAAAAAAAATAAAACTTAATAAAATAAAGTAAAATAAACTTTAGTCTCAATCCATACCCATGCCCTACACATCTGAGTTGAAATCCTAGTATTACTATTTCACAACTGAACAGAGCAAAGATGCTTCAGCCATTGAAGACTCACCCTGAGAGGTGCCCCTTCGGCAGTGGCCGAAGATACTGGAGGAAAAGGAAAAGCAGTGCCCTCGGGCTGTGAGGGTCTCTGGTGCTCCTGCAGGAAGGTGTCCCTGGAAACCAGGACCAGCCTCTCAAGCTGGGGTTTGCAAATTTCACGGTCCTCTGGGTGGCCTGTTCGGCCTGTTTTGCACTTCAGGGAGACAGGAAGAGACAGGAGCGGTTGGGGTCTCTCAGCAGATTCCAGGCCCACCGTTTCTTCAGCCATTATGGTGCAGGGGCTTCCCGTTTGAGCAAGCTCCAGGCCCAGTGTGGGGCTCTCACTCACCACCCTGAGATCCAACTTCACCGACTCAGCCTGCCAGGCACCCTCAAGCAGCAGCTGAATGACAAAGGTGGAGGTTGCAGCAAGGCAGGGAAGGAAGGGCCTTCTCCAGCCGAGCAAGACCAAAGGCTAAGGAGGCCTTGGGGGGAAGGCTGTGCTGC